ACCCAAGTTATGGCATTTATTTCAACGGTAAAAGGATGAAATGCGTACAAATGTCATTGAAATTTTGTCATTATTAATTATTGCATAACGTAGAGTAGATGAAAAAAAGGCTGGCTTACCATGTGACTCGTTATTAATTGAAGTTTTATTCAAAACTCTTTGTTTTGAGCTAATAATATGATGTATGAGATTTCAAAGTACCAAAAAAAAAAAAAAAACTCTTTTGTCATTTATTGTAGAATATTGTCAATTACTACATATTTTTCATGATGGGATTAGATTATGCATAGAATACATCATAATGTGAATTATTAAAAAAAAAATTTTTTGGTAAGTGTATTCCTTTGAGCCGTTGGCATCGAATTCTTTTTCCAATTTTAGTATAATGATGAATTAAACAAGTATATACAAATATTCATTTCAATAAGGTAAATAATAAAGTAGGAGAGTTTACGGATAAATTAAAAATTTTTAAAAATTTTGAGAGTTGAAATTTTCATAATTTTATTGGATTATGAATTTTATTTGATTGATAACACAAATATTCTTAATTTCTATTTATGTTGTAGTTTATAATCTATCTCTCTTTCTTTCCTCTCCCAATGTTATTAATTTTGGATCCCTAATTAATCATTTTTTATATAATTTTCTTGTTATTTATCCTTCAACTTAATTCTTTTTATTTATTTATTTTTCTTTTTTTTTATTTTTATTATACACAATCTTCCATCTTTTTCTTATTTTCCTTCTCTTTCTCAAATTTTTTTGGTGCATCATTTTTTCGTTCCTTATTTCATACGTCTTCTTTTTTTTTATTCTTTTCATTTCCTTTATGTATACATTTACACCATACATTACTCACTTTCAAACACTTTAAATACTATTTTTGCACTAATAATTTCATTTTATTTAACATATTTCATTCTTATATTTAATTCGTAAAAATTTTTATTTATGCTATTAATACTGCAATTTTGATTTGTGCTACCTTTAATTTTTTTTATTCTCTTTATGTCTGCCTCATTTTTTTTCTGTTACTTTTTCTCCTTTCTCTTCATCATATATACAATGGATATACAGTTAAAATTTTAATTTAATTATGAGAATATTCATTTTTTTATTTTCTTTAATTATTTATATGTGTAATCAGTTTTTTTAAAACGTTTAATTTCATTTTTTACGTCATTTCATTATGCTATCTATAATTAATTTTCTTATCTTTTATTTTTCTTTATCTCCCTCCTTATTTTTTTCTTATTTCCATTTTTTCTTTTATCTTAATCTTTATTTAGTGACAATTTACTTTTCAAATTTACGATTTTTTATTTTTAATATAGTAGTTTTTACATTACTTTTATGTTATTCATGACATTTTTTCACCAATATTCATAACACCTTAAATACATATCTCTAAAACAATTACTTCCATTAAGCTTTTTAAATTCGTTATATATTATAAATTTAGTTTTTTTTTTTTAAATGATCTTTTACTTCCTTTTATGTTTTATTGGCTTTTCCTTCTATCTTGACCTTCATTCTTTTTCTTTTTTCTTTCTCCCCTTGATTTTTTTTTTCGTTTTTCTTTGTCTTTTCCTTTCTTTTGCCTTTCTAACATGCCCTAGAAAATAGATAAAAAAAAAACTTTGAAAAAACTTCTGACAATCTCAAAATAATCTTCGGCCCCCTGAACTTAAAATTCATTATAAGTTAGATTACTTCACGCATAGACAACGTCATATCAAAAGAAAATGAAGAAAAAAAATAAAAGAATAATAAAAATGACCTATGTGCTAAAGGTAAACCTGTCCCTAGATGGAGTAGTCGACTATGCTTTAGGCAATATTTTTCAAGCCCAAACTTGGCTTGTGAAATTTTTTATTATTAAATAGTTATTTTGATTAAATTTTAATTTTACAAGTATTTAAAAATTAATTCTAATATAAAAACATTTTTTTGACATTTTAATATTAAATTTAAATCTAATTGGCATAAGTGCATGGGTGGATCGTCGACCGAACCATGAGTATTAATTCATCTATGCTATGGAAAAATTCGTATTAAAAGTCAAATGCTAAAGCGTTTATGTATGTCATAATTATCTTCAATGACCATTATATTCATGGGCTACATCAACATGTGTATATTTTAGAAATTTCAATATATTGATGTTGATATAACTTATTTATTGTTTATCAATGATATATGATTTATATTTGATGCACCGTAAGTATATAGATTTGTATATTTTTAGTGAATAGAATGATGATATCTTATTAATGAAGTGAATTAGATGATATCACTTCATTAATAAATAAGGCTTTTAAAAAATATTAATTTTTATATAGTTATTTTAAGGGTTGATATTTATTCATTAATAAAGTGACATTATTTGATTTACCGACAATATATAGAATCTATACATTAACAGTATATTAAATATGAACTCATTTATTTATTTATTATTTATCAATGTTGAGATCAATTATTAAGAAGCTTTTACATGCATGGCTAGACCGAATGAATATTCAGGTAAAAAAAAGGACTTCCCTTTCATAGGGCATAGTTTGAGCAAAATTTTATATCATGTGAGAGTTCCCAAGCGAGACATGATGTAATAAGGCAACCGCCTCAGCTTAAAGCATTTTCTTTGCTGATAAGATAATAAGTGCCAAAAAAAGAAAGTAAGACATTGCATTTGGAGATCATCTAATAAGGTTTAATTTAACATTGTGATTGAAAATAGCTTTTATGTTTAAAAGCTGTTTTTAATCAAACCTTGAAACTAAAAAATAAAGAAAAAATGATTTCTTAGTTCAAAAGCATTTTGCAACCAAATCCAAAAACTACTTAAGAGGTATTTTTATAGTGAAAGTGTTTTTGGATAAAAAAATCGCTATCTTACTCCATATTTTTAATATTTTATTATTTTATGTATATTTTTTAGACATTTCAATTATTAACAATACTTTTTCACAATATTAAACACTTAAAATTTTTAATCATACTTTTTTTACTACACTTTTTAAATGTGATTTTTTTCAATCTAAATTTTCCAACCCTAAACAGCCATATTGAACTAACCCTTAATGTGACCTAGCACTATGTTGCATGAAGGAAAAGGGAAGAGAAAGGTAGCCATTGACATCGACTTGTAATTCTTTTGTACATGGATTGCCCCTTCCACTTGCTCAACAAAGGGATATATGGTCAAATATTACTGCAGCTATGGTCATGACTCATGACCATGCCTGAAAGAGAAATATTATGAGAGGAGGAATGGCCTTGAAAATTACATGAAACATGGGTTTCTGTGTCCTTGCCTTACAATATGGCATATATGGATATGTTTCTTAATGTGATTTGAGCCATGTTACATGTGTCCGTTAACTACTACAAATCTACAATAAATACAAACAACCCCCTTCAAATTTATCATCATTATGTACAAAATTACAGAAATATACCACATGCAATATATTGTAAATACATAATTTACAGCATATAGAAACAGTTTAGCAGAAGAGGGCAAAAGAAAAAAAGAGAAAGGAAATTGTAGTAAAGTATGAAAATTGTATGACCAAAATATCTAATACACATAACCTAGTAACATATATCTGGCTAACTTTTATGTTAAGTTTTTGAAAAGATTTAATATATATAGGTCTTGCTTGCTATACAAGATTATGATAGAATATGATAAAATGTATTGTGAATAGAATTAGATTAAATAATATTATCTTATCTTATTTTTGATATGTACAAAGATTAACATAGGATAATTTATTTATTGGTCAAAATTATCTTCCTCAAAGCTTATACAATTTCAATTATTAATATAATTTTTAAAAGTATAATAAGACATAAAATTTAATCTCATGTATTAAAAATAATTCTTTTCACTTTGGGAGAATTGAATCATCTTATACCAAGAGAATAATAATCCTTCTTGTATACCTATTACTTTCAATTAGATACAAATCAAACATAATATAAAATGATTATCATACTATCATATCTATTATCTTATACAATAAACATGACCATAATTTATTGTTGCTAATTTTTTATGCTAAAATGTTGATTGATCTAGACTCTATATTGGTATTGAATTGTTACCTGTAAAATGAACAGAATGAGAGAGACTGGAGCTTGACTTCGGATCAACTTTCATATGATCTAGTCAGTAAAAATGTGAGTGATTAGAGAGGGAAGGGAGATAATTTGGGAAAAAAAAGCTTATTTGTGATAGTTAGACCTAATTCGTATACTTTTATTGTAGTCAAACACCTTTAAAATAAAAAAAATATTATGTCATAATTTGCAACGTCAACATGCCAAACTACTTAATTTTCATCACAAAATACATTTTTTTATTGTCAAATTTATATATAGTTTTTGCTAAAATTTTAAATCATATCATTTCTTTTTTTTTTTTTAGTATTGTTTTCTTTTTATATCATTATTTGTGTTTAAATTTATCAAATTTAAATATAATAATACTCACTTTTCATGTATAGTAATGGTAATAATAAAATACTAATAATAATATAACATAAAGGAAATAAAAATTATTTATATACCCCTAATTGAAAATTTCCCACAATCGAATTAAAAGCGTTAAATGAAAAATAACAACAGTATCAACCACATTTCTAGTGACATATTTATGGCCATGTTATAAAACTCATCCAAAATGGAAAAGGGCGGAAAAAGCATAGAAAAAAATTGTTTCTCATGTAAAAGTTAACTAAAAAAGAAAAAGAAAGGAGGCTAAAACCAATTGCGGGCCCCTATTATTCCTATATTGATCATTGATCACCGTTGACCAGGTTAAGAACACCGCAAATTGGGAGAGAGGGGGGGGGGGGGGGGGGATGGGCTTATATAAGCTCCATTTAAGCCTTTGCTCTCCCACTTCGGGGTTTCCCTTCCTTGCAGCCTTCCTTCTCTGCTTTTTTTTTTTTTTTTTCGTTCTCTGGCAGACATATAACAAACACATATCCACGAAACGTTTCTCTTTTAAAACCACCATGGGAAGACATCAACAGCGTTACCGCGGCGTCCGTCAAAGACATTGGGGCTCTTGGGTCTCTGAAATTCGACACCCCGTCTTGTAATTTCCTTGAAACTTTTCTGTTTTTAGTTTTGTTTAATTTTTTCATTTTTTTCTTTTCAGCTATATAGGAAAGACGTTTTATATATGATCATTTCAATTTTTGTTTACAAGAGAAAGGCCTCTTTGTTTTGCAGGAAAACTAGAATATGGCTAGGCACATTTGAAACAGCAGAGGATGCAGCAAGAGCTTATGATGAGGCGGCAAGGCTAATGTGTGGGCAAAAAGCACGAACCAATTTTCCACACAATCCCAATGAGCCTCAATCTTCTTCATCAAAGCTGCTCTCAGCTACCTTGGCAGCTAAGTTACATAAATGTCACATGGCAGCACTCCAACTGGCTAAAAAGAATGCAGCAAAAGAGTCTTATGGAGCAGAATGTCACCCTTTGGCTCCCACCGGAAGCAATATTGGAGAAATGGATTGCCGGCGGCAGCCGGAGAACATATGGTTAGGAGAGGAAAGTCAGGTGGGGAGTGAAGAGCAGTTCATTCCACTAGAAGATGATCATATAGACCAGATGATAGAGGAGTTGCTTGATTATGGATCTATTGAATTTTGCTCTGTTAGTTCAACTTAAGGTCTAAAATTAATCATTTTCCAAATGTTAATGCACTTTTTTTTTTCATTTTTCTAGTTCTTGGTAATTTAGGTCACAAGATTAGATGCTACATTTTGCTATTGTTTTGCATAAAGTAGTGTGAATGCATTGGAATAAAATATTTAACATATGATCTAAATTGCATGGAAGATATATTAAGGCATGCAGCCGCCAGTGCTATCAATTTGTTTTTCCTTTTCTTCTATAAACAGCAAATGTGTGAGATGAGGATGAACATCAATCTTGCAACTTCCCACCCTTAAAATGTGAATTATCTGATCATCGAGTCACATGCAATATCTTGGGTAGTATATGGATTTCTTAATGCTACATGTTTGCTTGGTGAGAAGTTTGATTGAGGAATTGAAAAGGAAAGAATAATCCAAAATTTGGAAAGTGCAAAGATTGAAGAGGAACCGAAGGAAGGTTCAATGCTTCCTTTAAGATGAACTTTTTCTTCCATTTCTTTTCCACGCAATTCTTTGGGGGCATTGGAAAAAGTATAGCACTTTGTTTGAATTGGGCCTCCTAGTGTGAATGCACAGCTGCTGTGCTTTCAAAAAAGAAATTAAAAGTAAGTTCCTAAAATATTCTATGCAATTGCCAACCTCATTGGTAGAATTTTAGATTTTTAATTTCAATTATTACAATTTAAATTATGACAATATCAAATATTTAAAGACGAAATATATTATGTAATTTAATTTTAGAATTTACACCCAATATCAAAATTACTACTGCATAGAAGAAATTGTTACATAAGATACTAATGGAGAGAAGAATCATCAAATTGACTTGCCAGTAAAAAAAGAAAAACAAAATAATACCCAATTTACATTAGTGACATTTCCAAATGATAACCAGTAATTTTCAATTAAGACTACATATATACAAGACAAATAGCTAAATTTCGTACAGTTTTTATTTTTTGGGTCGTTTAATAATTTTTTAAAAATAAGAAATATCCAAGTCATGGGCTGCCAATGTGAAAGAGATTTGAGTTTCTTGGAGGCCATGGTGATGCATTGTCTCTCTCAGTGAACATTCTCTTTTTTTTTTTTTTTTTTTTAATCTGATATAAAGTTTGAAAGCTTTGCTCTATCCATCCAGCACAGATCCTTTGATTTCTTTAAAAGCAACACTTTTTGAGGTGCTAGCTATAAAGCTGTTTAATTGCAATTTACAGATTTTTAATTTCATATTTCCATCAATATGTATTTTGAGAAAATTGAGACCATTTATTTTTTTTTTTAAATAAAAAACCATTGCCTATATATTTCAAATGAAAAAAAAAAAAAAAAAAACTTATACGCCAGGGGTGGAACTTAGCGGGGGCAAGTAGGGCCTCGCTGTTAAAAAAAAAAAAAGCTAAGTTTATTTTCAGTGAGGCAGGGGTGAATCTGTTATAGATTTTAGTGGATTGAGCCCGTTGAAGAAAAAAAAAATTCTTAAGTTTATATTGTTTTCTGTGGGTTTCATTGAAAAATGAAAAAATTTTCACTTTTAGTTTATCTTTTGCGGGGTTTTTATTGAAAAAAATTTCTTAAAGTATTTAAAATTTAATTTGACTTCTCTATTTACATTTTTACAAATTACAAGCATAAATATAAATTGATAACGAAATTATTATGTAAAATTTTCAAAATATAAAATTGTGTTTGTAAATTTTTAAACAATTATAACTAAATATGAAAATTTTATAATTTAATATATTTAAAGTAAGCTCTAGTAACGAAAATTTTTTATTCCGTTACTATAATATGCATATTTTCCAACACTGAAATATTTGAACTGCACAAATAAATTTAACAAATATACAATTAAAAAATATCATTTGTATAAAAAATAGGCATGTTTAGGCCATATTTCTATGTTATTAATAAATCTATATATAAGAATATATTTGGATTATATATTTTATTCCAGATTGCTTGCAAAATTTAACAGTCCAAGATAATTATTCAGTGTGTGATCAGATTCCAGCCTTGCTGATCAATCACAGATACCCTACCAAATTGCAGAAGAGGTTAGCTATATATCCGCCACCATTTTTAGAAATCATGGTTGATTTCATGTTACACAACCTTGTAAAAATCATTTTATATTAAAAGCAAACTGTCCAGCACTTCAAACATGGCCTCACAAAATTCAAGTATAATTCCTGAAGAAGAAAAGCATAGTTCTTTTGAGACAATCTGCACTGACGCATCGTCACAAAATTTTTATCTCTCATCTCACTTTTTGAAAGAGTGACTTATTTGTTGTCTAATGTAAATATGCGTGCATGAAAAGATCACTCATGCTTTTACAATTTCCAACAATTTTTGGACCAACATGTTACAATGTTGGAGGCCTTACATTGTCAAAATTTCTTCCCTTGATTTGCTTTGCTTTGCTTTGCATCAGACGGGTTTAAGCTTTGGGATTACAGAATATCAGTCTTGTCAAACAAAAGGCAACCCAAAGACTTAAAATATAAAATCTTGTCGATTGTCAATATTAAATAATTAATTGGTATAGCTATGATTTTTTTTTTTAATTTCTTTTGATTTCAGAATATCTTTTCCTTTAGGTTGATATCCAAGGCATGATATATTGTTTATTAATGAAAAAAAAAGAAAAATAACTTTTCCTCAAAGGATGCATTTTATTTTCAAAAACTAACACTGTTTCCAATTTTCCATTTTAATAGAAAGAGAAAATTCTTAGCATTAAATTTTTTTTAGTGGTTTGCATTAATTTATTGGAGAATTGGAAACCATCAAAATAAGTTTTATTTTTCGGTTGTAAAATATTTGAAATAATAATAATATTCATTTTTTCATCATTAGGTTAATTGCTTCTATTGTCCACAAAATGGTCTTTGTGAAATTAATGCAAATGAATTTACACTTGCATGCATTGATCGTTTTTCTTTAGTTTCCTTCTTAAAAACTGTTAAATTTCTCTATTTCTTTTTTTAACGTTTTGCTTTAATGTATTTTATACTTAATTGCATACAATAATAGTTTATTATGGGAAAAGAAATATGTATAAATCTTGATAGATCACTGGTATTGAAGTCAATTCAAAAATTAAAGGTCTCATATTTAAATTTTAATAATAGTTAAAATTAAAGATGTTAATTTTATCCATATTCAATAAAGAATTCGACTTTTTATTAGAATGTAAATGGAGATGAATATTACATTGAGTATAGGGATAGAGATGGGTAAGATTTTAAATTTTTATTGGGCATGTGGATGGGAACGGATAATATAGTATCCACCCATACTTGTACCTTATATATATTTATATATATTTAGTAAATAAATTTTTTTTATTAAATAATATAAATTATTATTTTAGATTAATTAGAATTAGTATTTTTTAATAAAAAAATATTAATATATATTTATAAAAAATTTACATAAATATACAACATAAAAATAAAAAAATAAAAAAAATTTTATTTTTATTTTTTATAAAAACTATGGGTATGGGGATTACCCATAACTATTAAATACTTGCGGGAATGAAGATGTTAATAAATTTAAAATATCCATTAAGTATGGGTATGGAGATGTTTATAATATAAAAATCTAGAGATGATGATGAAGAATGTTTTACCCTACTCATACTTTATCAATTGATATCCCGAGTTAAAAAATAAAAAAAATATAATCCTACTCATACAAGAGTAAATCTTTTGTATTTATTCCTCGCGTATTTCTATTTAATTATATTATATTTCTTTTAACATATATTCTAATAATCTTTTAAAACATTTTTAAATGTTGGTGGGCTTCATTCCTCTAATCTAACCCCATCCTTCATGATTAATCATCTTAGTTGGGAACTTATTTTGTCCCCCACATTAATGTTAGTGAGATTAAGAATAATGGTTTTTTCTTTTTTTGTTTTACC